AAAAAAAAAAAAAAAAAAAAAAAAAAAAAAAAAAAAAAAAAAAAAAACCTATAAACTCTTATCTTTGTTTCATTTATATTTCAAGCATTTGCATTTAAAGCAACTGCGTTTCTACTATAATGAACACAGTTGTCAGAGCAGGTACAATATTGATAATAGCTGATATGAACAATATTTATATATGTATATGAATAATATATAAATAATAGATTAATAATATATAAATATATTTCATTGATAACTAACACACAATTTTCATATATGGATATATTTGTATACATATATACATACACATATGAAAAATCCTTTTTTTCTCAACACTAACTTCTATAAAGAGTCTTGGGACATTCCTTATATACAGGTCTGTGGTTAGACAACACTCAAAGCTCAATTCTTCATTCGTCTATCCCGCTGTTGAGAGTAGGTACTTAAATATATAAATTTTTTAATATTTTCATATATTTATATATATACATACATATGTAAAGAGATATACATATGAATGTATGCAAGCGCTCTATTTTCCATAATTAGCACCCTTGTTGCTTTTTATTTGTTGTTGCCAAGCCCTCGACAACAACAACAACGTCGTCATCTTCATCGTTGGGGTTTCTGTTCAATCTCTAATGCAAATTGGCTGCTGACGCGAATGTCGACGACTAAGACAAAGGAAACAGGAGTGAACGGGCCACTGCATGACTGAGTGAGTGAGAGTGAGAGAGGGAGAGTGTCAGAAAGAAGAAGAGAGGGTGTGAGAGTACGCGGCGTGAACAAAGAAGCAACAGTGCCAACACAGCGCCCGAGGGAGAGACAGGGGGCAACAGGGAAATGCACTTGGCCGAGGTTTCTGGCTGGCGCAGTGCATAGGGCCAGACAACAAAGCGTTGCCCGCTCTACAAGTGAAGCAGGGAACGAGAGTGAAAGAGAGAGAGAGCGCGCATGGGAAGCCGGGAGCAAGGAGCAGACTTTCAATATTAATTAGCAAATGAAATTAACAAAATTGTGACAACTTTTGGCGCCTAAAACTTTAATCAAACGCCACAATTTTCTGTTGTTTTTTTCAAAACAAACGAAACACCGCACAGACAAAAACAAATTAATACGCACGCAGCACTCACACACACACACACACAAGACACGCAAAAAAAAAAGAGAAAAAAAAAAAACAATAAGCAGCCGAAAAATTGAGTGAGTTCAGTGAACCAAACAATGAACCAGTGTGAATGTGAAAAGGAAGCTGAGAGAGTTCTTTGGCACCAACTCGCTTACGTTTTGATTTCTATTAATTTTTGTTTATTTTTTTTATATACACACATATATACATACATATGCGTATATATATACTTTTTTGTCTTTAGCTTTTTGCTGTTTTGCCACTTCACTTTTATTTTGCAATCAAAAAGCAAAGCGCGCTATGCGAAATGTAACGAACGACTGACGGGCAGCGCCGCTGCTGCGCTCCACTGTTGGTGGCTGTCGTCGGTAGCAGCGACGATGGCAGCAGCAGCAGCAGCAGCGCCAGCAACAGCAGCAGCAGCCGCGCAACCCAGCAACAAACAAAGAAGAAAAGAAAAGGCAACAAAAGCGGCATACAGGTGGCAGTGACGAGTGCAGCGCAAAGTAACGCAACAAGCAGCGCCTCAATTGCAAAATGGATAAATAAGAACAGCAATAAATATGCATAATATACTATGTACACACATACCCACAAGCACACATACATATGTACGTGTGCATACGCATATTAAATGCAATCAACAAAAATCTTGATCAAACTAAATCTGAGAACACAGTCAACTTAGCTCACAATAATAATAACGCATGTCCCGCTATATGTATGTATGTATGCATGTGTGCATGCGTATGTGAATGTGCAAGGTGAATGCAAAAGTCTATATGCACTGAGCACCAATTACCGTTAGAAATGTTAACCCAATATTCTTGTTATTGCGCTGCCTGATTTTCTTGTTGTTGCTGTTGTTGTTGTTGTTATTGCTGTAGCTGTTGTTGTCGTTCGGTGCCTAAGTGTGGGCACATAAAACCGGAGAGCCATGACACAGCTACAGCCGCGGCGTACGAATTGCCACCATCGAGCATGCGTGCCACACTCACCGTCATAAAGGTAAGTACACATACACATTCACATTCATATATGTATATATGTACATATCTTGAACAAAGCAACAATTAATCAATTTTGTTTATAAATACATATAAACAAATAAAGAGTTATTGAATGCATGTACTTATGTATACAAGTCTATCTATCATATCATATCATTTAATAATTTCCTCGTATAAAGTAAACTAATACTAATATAATGGAATAAGCTATACAATGAATTTTAGATTTCAATATTTAGCGAGAGCTATCTTTAAATCCATCCAGGTTCCATTAAACTCATCCCAAATATAAATATTTATCTATACTGATCTACTCATATACAGATATAAACGCCTTCAGCTGGCACAATAGTTATAAGCTTCACTGTAATTTTATACAATATGCCGACTAACGGTAAGAACATCGGTGTCAGTTGCCGTGTTGCTTATATATGTATTTATGTACATTTGTGTGTGTGTGTCTGTCTGTATTTGTATCTTTCTCTGCTCAGTTGCTGTCGGGCTCAGTATGCGTTGTCGAGCTGACTGCTGCTGGCTTCTGTTACCGCCGTCTAGCATGACTTTATGCCAATCCCCCCCATCTCTCACGTACGCCGGCCGTTGCTGCTGCTGCAAGTGACTCTGGCGATCTACAGCTTAGTGCAGCTGATTCAGAAACTAATTCAGCATGTTCTTATTCTTATTCAATTAACAATACGCATTTACAGTTATGTGTATGTATGTATGTGCACAAAACGAAAAGCAACAATTTCAAACACTCATCCCCAATCATGGTATTCATTTCTTATCGTTGTTGTTGTTGTTGTAATTCAACTGTTGTGATTCTATTTTTTTTTTTTTTTCTTTAATTATTTCGCGCGCCTTTCACGTCAATAGAACTTTTGCGTCGTGTTTTTATACCCTGCAAGCAGGGCAAAATAAACAGGTAGCTTTGACCACACACGTATGTACATATGTACATACATTCGTATATACAATCTTGATCAAGTTGAGCCACATTGATCTCTATGTCAATGTAATCGCTAATTAATTTTTGTATTGCTCAATCCACAATATAATGTTTTTCAAATACATATTGTCCACGACAGAGTAATTCTCAGCTTTATCACTCTCTATCTTACATACACAAAGAGGAAAGCCCAACGGAGCAACAACACACGAAAATACCCCACGCATCACTCACTCACACACACATACATAGCGCTCACTGAGCAGCTGATGGTGTTGTTGTGATTGTGATTTCGTGGTGTCTTTCTTTTTAGCTGAGGTCAATATCGTCAGTGGCAACGGAGCAAATAGAAATATGAATAACTGTTTATGATGAGTATACGAAAATAAAAAGCAACACAAACAAATGAATAAAGACGCAAAAAAATGCGCACTGCTTTTGGGTAAAAGAGACAGCATAAGGTACTATCAGAAAATGAAAAAAAAAAAAAAAAAAAATCAGAAAACATCCAACAGC